CTGCACATAAGATCTCACACTCAACAAATAGAACAATACCCTGTTTCATTGAAATGTGATAAATCAATCTTAAAATTCCTCACATTAAACTAAGTGGGAAATTAATAGTAACATTTATTTCAAAACCTGCACTAATCTGTTTTGGTATCATTAAAAATATTTCACATAACACCTTTTACATTTGAATATAATCCCCATAAAATGTTATCTATTTCCATATTTATATAGCAGCTTTCTTCGGGTATCATATTAAGAATGACACCTCAAATGTCACACAGATACTGATTGGATGGACCCTTTGAATTAGGTACTGTATACGTATTCTATTTTGCCTCCTGTTTCAGTTAAAGAGTATTATATGGACAAAGGGTTTATGAAAATAAAGAAAATGTAAAAGTTAAGATATGTACAATTGTTTGAAATAATTCATTTTCAATAAAAAATAACGTCTTGTGTCGCAGGTTTTACATATGGTCCATCCATTATCTATCACAGTCTTTGAACATTTATAATTATGAAATTGAAATAAGCACTATCGTATATGATTAACTGGGACAGCCATAAAATTAAAACTGGGAATGAAGGTATGGTAAACTATTATATAGGTATGGTAAACTATACATATGGTAAACTACAGGTACAGTGAATAAAACTAAATACGGTAAACTGGATTTGTAAAAATTGTATAAATGTTTTCTTTGAAATACATGCATAATTTTTCATAAAAAATGGTTTTGGTCAACTCTAAGTTTAAACTACACAGATGGTAAACTACAGGTTTAGTTAACTTCGGTACTAATTTTTTTCAGCTCAACAGATAGATTCTTCTCTTCCAACCTCTTATTTACTTTAAATGGGAAAGTGGTTTTTAGTTTGCAAGGTCAATGTCAACATAAACAAACATGTCTTTGAGTGCACAGAGGCTTACCCTGCGTGCAGAGTCTAGTTAAACTACACTCTGCCTAGTAGAGACCATATTACAGTTTAATAGCCCCACCCCCTCGACGGGTACCGGTGACAGTTTGGGTAAAACACTTTTGACCTACGCGCTGCCCTTCCACCAATCAGCGAGCTTCAAGAAACATACGCCAAATGCGTTCTAATTAAATATTCGCATGGCATTGGTCAATTCCGGGCTCAATGATGACGTCAGAAGGAATGACCATATAAAGAACGTCGGTCAAATTTGGCCGACGAAAACTGATTGGCGCGTTGAGTTCACAGGTTTATTTTAGTTTGAAAGAGTGAAGACGAAGCTCTATTTTAAGAAGTGAAGTCAAACGAATGCAAAGGGTAACAGAGGCTGTCAACATCCATGGTATTTTATCACATAATTCTATGTAGGGCCATTCGTTGAAGCTGTGATGCAGAAAATCTCATTCTTGAATTAAATGTATGGTTCTCGTTAAGATGGTCATAGCCAATATTTATTAGACTTCTAAATCAAAATTATTGAACATGGGGAAAATTATTTTGGTAAACAAAATCAATTCTCATTTTAGATGTTTACAAAAATAACTTATTTTTTGTCCAGTGTTTGCCTTTAGTTAAGACATGCCTGTAATGAAGCAATTAGATAAATGGTCTGAAGGTGCTGTTCTATTAGGAATGAATAACAATTTCATTGAGATAAATGTTCATTAAAATAGATAATGGAAATGGGTATTACGAAGTTGATGATCGTATTGTGCTATACATACATTAATACTTTTTATAATACATTAGTTGAAGTGCTAGGTTAGAGACTGTAAACAACTTTCAATGTGAGGGTTATAGTTTTAATGACACAGAATTATGTTTATAAAGCATGCAAGGTTTAGAAAGTACCACATCAGTATTCTGTGTAGAGAAGTCAGCTCATAACATAGTTAAGGGATATTTTCCCAGTGAGAAGTATACATTTTTCATTACAGTGATTGATCATTATATGGCAGTCAGACAAGGTATGATTGTTTTATAAATTATTAATTCTTCGAAAGTATTATATATTCAATTATTGCCACATATGTTGACTCTATAAGGCTCCCCAAGAGGGGGCAGTGAGGTCGCTTTAGTCACTTTTAAAACTGTGATTTGTCACATTTAAAATTTACCTATCATATTATCATTTTTTTAGGCAGTTAATGTAGTTTAATGCAACAAATGGACCATTATGTTCCATTGTTTAGATTACTGTTTAGAATATGTCATCGGTGGGATATAGTCGATCCTCATGATGACAGCGAGATCATGATCGTGATCATCCCACTTTTTTTGTCATTGCGATATCGAGAAATCTGCTCATCAGATTTTCTCCAAACTCGCACACATGATAGAGGATATCAAATTCTAGAGCTGATTAACTGATGAGATGATCATCCTGCTTTTTTTGTCATCGTGATATCGAGAAATCTGCTCATCGGATTTTCTCGCAAACATGATAGAGGATATCAATTTCTAGAGCCGATTAACTTTTGGGCAGCCATCTTGTTTTCTGGTGGCCCTTTTGAAGGTTTTCGTGATCATCCCGCTTTTTTGTCATCACGATATCGAGAAATCTGCTCATCCAATTTTCTCCAAACTCGCACACATAATAGAGGATATCAAGTTCTAGAGCTGATCTTGTTGCGGCCATCTTGTTTTCCGGTGGCCCTTTTGAAGGTTTTTGATAAATCTTGTCATTGCCATTTCAGGAAAACCGCTCATCCGGTTTTCTCCATATTGGCACACATGATAGAGGATAACTTCTTGGTGGCCATCTTGTTTTCTGGCAGCCATTTGGAAGGTTTTTCGATGGTGTGATCTCGTTCACCTCATGTGCCTTTTTGTCACTTCCAAAACACTCGGCAGTCAGATCAATGTTCAAAATTGTCACTTGCGAGCATTTATTTGTCACAAGTTGTTGTTCTTTGTTTTTAAATACATGTACATCACATTTAGTGACAGTTTTAGAGCCAGGTCACTTTGTCACATACCCCTTGGGGAGCCCTCTCTGTTAAAAGTGACAGGATTTGGACTATGGATCACATTGTTATGAACAAATCTATGATTAACGAGCAATGTAAAGAAGAAACAATTAACAGAATCATCACCAATTTATTAATGGGTTTTATACTATACTTGTACGTCATGAGCACTGTGGCACAATTGAAATGATTTGAGTGTATTATGATTAATGACTTTTAAAAACTCTGTTTACTTTGTTTTAGTTTTGAAAAGGCTTTTTCAGATTAATAGATATTTTGAGAAGAGCTGTGTAAAAGGTCCCCCTAAAGTACTGTTGTTTATTTGTCATACAGAGTTCCATATGTCATGGCATGAGGTCAAGAGAGATACAATCTAAACTTATCTTAATTCGCTTAATACTATCACAATTAATAGAACACCTCAGTTTGTCAGCCTTTGATGGTTTGCACCTTGACCTGTTATTTCAAGATAAGTACTTTTCTATGAGAAAGAGGTCATAAAGACTTTTAATTAGATACCCAAATGTTAAGGAGGGAGTATAACAACTCCAAGAGGAGCTCTGCAAACCTAGTGATACAATGTTTGGAGGATTAAAGAAAGTGAATTAGTGTTAATTTTCCTCAATCAGTTTTAAGTAATTTCAATGATTATCTCACTGACCACAAGTTTAAAGGAAAAGAGATACGATCAGCATCAACATCAGAATGGGATTTTTGAAGTTATTTTTTGCTTATTTCTCGTCTGTTGGATTATAAAATAATCATACACATATGATATGATTTATCTATTGCCTACATTATAAAGCAGGTGACATTATGTGTATGATGGTGTACCATGCTCACTATTGAAATAACTATCTGTAGATAATGGAGGATTAAGTATGTATTGTTAAGTAAGTAATATGATACTTCTAAGTTGCAAATTCCAATAATTACTCAAATATAAAAAAGAGAATAATTGCATTGGCTTAAATTGCAAAAATCAATTCTAATATTCCAATGTAATCTGTAAAGGAAGGAAGATTCAATCATAATGAAATGGGTCAATATGTTATTAGAACTAGTGTTTATTCCATAAATGTGCACATTTATTGAACATAAATAACCTTTTTCAAATTATGGAAACAGTTCGTAATGGGGTACATCTGTATACCTCATGGAATTAATTCAAGTGTAATAACTAAGGGATTAATATTATGTGGTGTCACGATAGTGTGTGAGGCTCCAATGATATCTAAACTGAAATATGCTTACTGATGTCCAACAGCTTGTCTGTAAACATTAATCCCTATTATGCCATTTGGTCATTAAGGTATTTAAGGTATTATTCAAAAATATTTTAATGATAACGAATTTCATAATTCATAAAATTAGTTAAATCAGCATCCTCGGCCTCTTCAAGCTTACAAACATAGTTATAATATAAAAATTTATTCCTCTAGAATAAAATATAAAATATAAATATAAAATATACCCTGCACTAGATTACTGCCAATCAAGAAAATATGATTGTACATTAGTAAGCATATCAGAACAGCAATTGGCTATCACATATAATCGTGATTTGGTTAGGTCAAATGTTTGACTGTACATTTATTTTGTCATTGGATAGGACATCTTTATAATCATGATTTTTCATTTATATTTTTACTGATTTTTTAACTGCTATAAAATCAAAGATGTGTCTATGTTTTTTTAATTTTTCTTGAAGATTATACTTTAAAGAATTTAAATGATCCTTTTTTCTTTAAGATTATACTTTAAGAAATTTAACAATCATACATTTACAGTATTTTAATATCATACATTTACAGCTGACTGGTTTAATGCATTAGCGTTAGCAAACACTTCATTAGTACCATGCTTCTCATCTTGATATGAAACAACGTGGGTATTTATAGGTATTCATATATTTATAGGTATTCATAACTGTAGAATTGAAAAATATAATAATATTATAAGGAACTTTAAATTCATAACATCAAGAAGATATTTTTAAAGAACTTGTCAATGTTATACTGAAACCAAGACATCTTATTATGCCTTGTTTTTCAGATGAAGTGTGAGCATGATGAACACTAACAAACTGTTGAAAACACTTCTTATTCTACAACTGTTTGGAGGGATGTCTGGAATTTTCTTTCCTGAAATTGGTGGTTAGTAAATTATTTTTCGTCTGTAGATGTGAAGCTAGCTTACTTTGGCCATACCTGTCTTATAACGCCATATCCTAGACAATTGAAGAGATGCCAAAATTAGGCAACTTTTGATCCTTCTATGAATAATATTTAAGTTTTTATCATTTTTAGAATTTAAATATTAAGTTTGAGAACAACAAATTTACAATGGAGTTCTATGAGAAATATCTTAAAATCTAAAATATTATGCATGCAGTTAATTTGACCAATGTTTTTGGAAAGTGCCAATTGAAAATATGTGATTATCTCTTCTACCATAATGGGTGTATATGGCCATTCTCTAAAACTATTGTTTTTTCAAATTATTCAATTTCTAATCATAAGCCAGACCATTTGTCTCATCAAGGCTTATAGTGTCATATAAAACTGTTTATAATTTTATCTAAAAGCATTGATTTTAGAAAGAGTGTTTTTCATCTTTAATTTTCAGTGTATTATTTTTTCTTTCAGTGATCAGTCGAGACCCATTTTGTGATAAAGTTTATGGTAAAAAATCATGTGCTGTGTTTGGAGGTTTTCTCAATCTCACATGCACAATTGATTTTAATGTTTATGAAGGAAACAAAACCGCAGCTGATATCTTCTTTGAGGTAAGACCAGTAATTTTTTGATCTAATGTCCTGATATGAAATTTTACTGTTGAAAAGTCTTGTTTATAAAAAGCCATCAATATAAACCCTAGTCAACTACATGTACATAAACTGTATTCTCTTTACTGGTTCCAGTTCGAACAGGGAAATGAGATACTTCCATACCCACCTGAATTTGTGACGGTGGTTGACAATGCAACTGCAGTTTTATCTGTTCCTGATATGCCACATTTCAAACTCTCGACTGAAAATACAACTGGGCGGTGTCATCACGCCTGTGTGATCAGGGAAGATGCGGAAAAATCAACATTTGTAGACGATATACCAACAGTTGTAGCTCGTAAGGAATTATCACATTGCAAGCTCATAATAATTAACCCAGTGTACAGTCCAATTCATAGTTTAAACAAATGTCTTTGGAAATGAACACTGTCTGTAACTACTAAATGTGTCATTTTGGGAACTCTGCTGAGACTACCTGTTATTACTTTTTGCAGAAAAAGATATTGATATTTTGTATATTAGTTAAATTTAGTCATAGCGATTCCAGGAAAACTGCACGTTAGATTTTCTTCAAATTAGTACACATGATAGAGGATACCAAAGTGTACAACAAGGTAGTGACATTTTGTCATGTTAATGTCTTGTGTGTCTGTTAATGCCTTGTGTGTCTGGCGGTGTGCTTCGGTCATGTCCTGTGCCTTGTTCAAATTGGATATGAAGTGTGATCAGAGGTCTAATGGTGCTATCTCTCTAATTGAATGTTGAATGTGTAAATGTTTTGTAATGTTGTATAATGAATGCGCTCATAATTTTCCAGATTTGCCTGTCCAGCCTCACAGTATTGAGTGCCGAATAAAGAACTGGAATGATTTTGTTATTTGTCAATGGCAACCTCAGATTATCCACAACACAATCAACACTCAAATAAAAACATATGTAAAACATTGGTAAGTCAACAAGCTTGATATAACTTTTCATCTCAACATTGACCTATTTTGATGTCTGTTCTCCATTATGTGTAATATGATATTATTTAATGGTTTAAACAAAGGTAGCATAAAAGATGATTTGCTACATAAATGGATAAATAGATAGCAGAAGTGTTTTGGTATAAGTAGATTTCTTCATACACATTTATCTCGAGGATTGATTTACCTTAAGATGATCCTTACAAGAGTAAATATTTTAAAGATTTGGCCTTTCCTATAATGGAAAACTGAAAAATCCTAGTGAATTAAATAAAATGAAAATAATTCCAAATCATATGTTTGCAGAATTCAAATACATTTATGTCTTTAAATACAAGATTTTTTATATCCACTTTGGTTAAATATAAGAATCGTTTAAAATGTCATTAAAAACTCGACTTCAACAAGATTTCAAAGCTGTTTAGCAGATACATATTCAAATTTTCCAATAGTGTCTCCAGTACACACAATTTATGGTAAAACCAGTGATGAAGTCAACACTGGTTCATATATTTATGAGTATGTGTATTTTTATAACCAAGAGTAATATAAAATCATTGTGCATGCAGGTGTTTGTTTTAGATGATAAATATGAAATACACTACAGATAAATGACAATAACAGAGGCATAAACTTTTTAGCAAATATTTATTATTGAGAACTTCTTGTAAGTGGGGCATGATGAAAAATAGATATCCAGTATTTATGATTTCATTGTTGTTGTCACAGTTGACTCCATGTTAGATTTTTCAAAATCATGAAAATTTCATTTAACTTTTGCTCTGTATTAAATACATGTAACTTTTCACGATATTGTTTGCTGCATAATAGAGTGCTGCATAATAGAGTGGCCATCCCCAAAATTACAAATAGCTGAAAGCTGTAACAGAGAATCGTTATTCTGTTTTTCAGTGAGAATTGTTCAAAAGAACTTGCATGTCATTACAATTATCCCGTTGATGAACTGAGTCCTTGCATTGTGAAGTCCAATACAACATACTTCTACTTTGAGGTTGAGATATATAATGAACTGAATAATAATGGAGCGCTCACCACAAGCTTTACTGGGAATACACATACTCTAGGTAGGTGATGCTTCACAATATATAACAGTTTCACTTGTTTGCATACTATACAGTAAAACCTACATTATCTAAGTGGAACACCTTTTGTACCTCTAAAAAGTATTCCACTTGGGAGGTATTCCAATTACAGAGCAGTGATCTCCCAAGCATTAAAACAAGTGGGCGCAGCACCCACCTGAGATTTTGAAAATTTACTTGCCCCCACCTGAAAATCCATTTGCACCCACTTGAAAATGAAAAAATCATGAAAAATTGGCATATTTTGACCAATTTTTTCTGAATTGTGAAAACGAGAATTTCGCACCCACTTGAAAAAAAATCCTGTGGCGATCACTGTAGAGGTTCATTTAACATTTAGTCAGTTGGTCTTAGGACTTTGAAAAGTGTTCCATTGACAGAGGTGTATCACCTACAGAGGTGGTCCAATTTGCAGGTTTCACTGTACTTGTCTAAATTACAATGCATCATTTTCGTTTTTTCCTTTTAGTTATAACTGCATGTTGTTTAGCATTACTTTTAGGTCACATATGTATGATACATGTATATACCTTGAACCTCAAGTGGTATTTTACAGGGAAAATGTTTTGTTGGAGTTTTATCATACCTAAAAAGGCTATGATTTGTCATCAGCATGTTTAATTGAAAGTGCCCTCTATAACACAGAAAATGTAAAAAAAATTATACTTAAACTTTGTGTCTAATTTGTGTTTCAGTTGAACCTGCTCAAGTAGTTGCTAATGCTACTGCAGGTGACAGTTCTAGTATAGATGTCATATGGCTGAGAACTGCCCCTGATGAAGCCAATATTCAATATGATGTCACATATACCTCACAATGGGAAAAACACAAGGTATTGATATGTAGTGTTAAATTTGTCTTAGTGAACACCTTTCTCTAGTAAACACCTGTGTCTTGTGAACATTCCTTTTCAGCATATGCATGTACACCATTTACTTCTGTATAAAACTGCCTCTCTGTAGTGAACACCTACCTAAAGTGAACACATTTATCTGGCTCCATGGGTGTTCACTGTACACGGGTTTTACTGTACAAAGAAAAAAGAGTTACAAGTAGATTCTTTATGAACTACAATTGTAGTTTTTATGTCACCACCAAAAGTGGTGACATATTGTTATGGTCTCCGTTTTTTTGCGACGGTGGTTGGTGGTTGGAGGTTGGAGGTTGGCGTCCGGCGTCCGGCGTCTGTAACAATTTCTTACAACTTCCTATAACTTAACAAATACTGTTTAGACTGACTTCGATTTTTTTCTAAATCATCTACATGTTCTCAGAAGTTCAAATCTGACTTTAGATTTGACATTTGACCTTCAATGACCTTCTCAAGGTCAAAAATGTCTTTTTTCAACTTGCTTCACATTGACTAAATTTTTTTTCAAAATCATCTACATGTCCTCCGAAATTCAAATCTGACCTTAGATTTGACTTTAGATTTGACATTTGACCTTCAAATCTGACTTTAGATTTGACATTTGACCTTCAATGACCTTCTCAAGGTCAAAAAAGGTCAAAAAGGTCTGTTTTCAAGTTGCTTCAAATTGACTAAAATTTTTTTTTTAAATCATCTACGTGTTCTCAGAAATTCAAATCGGACTTAAGATTTGACATTTGACCTTCAATGACCTTCTCAAAGTCAAAAAAGGTCAAAAAGGTCTGTTTTCAACTTGCTTCAAATTGACTAAAGAATTTTTTCAAAATCATCTACGTGTTCTCAGAAATTCAAATCTGACTTTAGATTTGACTTAAAATTAGGCATTTGACCTTCAATGACCTTCTCAAAGTCAAAAAAGGTCAAAAAGGTCTTTTTTCAACTTGCTTCCAATTGACTAAATTTTTTTTTCAAAATCATCAACATGTTCTCAGAAATTCAAATCTGACTTTAGATTTGACATTTGACCTTCAATGACCTTCTCAATGTCAAAAAAGGTCAAAAAGGTATTTTTCCATCTTGCTTCAAATTGACTAAATTTTTTTTCAAAATCATCTACATGTTCTCAGAAATTCAAATATGACTTTAGATTTGACTTTAGATTTGACATTTGACCTTCAATGACCTTCTCAAGGTCAAAAAAGGTCAAAAAGGTCTTTTTTCAACTTGCTTCAAATTGACTAATTTTTTTTTCAAAATCATCTACATGTTCTCAGAAATTCAAATCTGACTTTAGATTTGACATTTGACCTTTAATGACCTTCTCAAGGTCAAAAAAAGGTCAAAAAGGTATTTTTTCAACTTGCTTCAAATTGACCAATTTTTTTTTCAAAATCATCTACATCTTTTCAGAAGTTCAAATTTGACTTTACAAGTTCTCAGAAGTTCAAATCTGACTTTAGATTTGACCTTTGACCTTCAATGACCTTCTCAAGGTCAAAAAGGTCTTTTTTCAACTTGCTTCATATTGACTAAATTTTTTTTTCAAAATCATCTACATGTTCTCAGAAGTTCAAATCTGACTTTAGATTTGACATTTGACCTTCAATGACCTTTTCAAGGTCAAAAAGGTCTTTTTTCAACTTGCTTCAAATTTACTTAATTTTTTTTTCAAAATCATCTACATGTTCTCAGAAGTTCAAATCTGACTTTACATTTGACATTCGACCTTCAATGACCTTCTCAATGTCAAAAAAAGTCAAAGAGGTATTTTTTCAACTTGCTTCAGATTGAACAATTTCTTTTTTCAAAATCATCTACAAGATCCCAGAAGCTCAAATCTTCAAAAACCTTCTTAAGGTCAAAAGGTATTTTCCAACTTGCTTTAAATTGACCAAATTGTTTTAGGTGGTGACATTTTGTCATGTTAATGCCTTGTTTAATATCTATTGCAAAACTACATGTACAATGCTCCCCTCCCAGTTTTCCGCTTCTAAGAAGTATGGACAGGATGTGCCCACAGTCTTGCTGATTTTTAAAATTTGAGATATTTCTCAAGTTGCAAGCCGAAAAAAAATCACAAAACTGAGAACCAACTTTCTGATCAGTCTTTATATACTGTGTCACGCTGTTGTTTTAATAGCCTTCTTTTTGGTGTAAGGGCTTGTTGTGTGTAATAACTACTTACGCTTCTGGCACCATTGTGAATAACTTGAGAAGAAATGTTCAAATTGATTGGTTTTTTACTATAAACACACATACGGACTTGTTATAAGTCTCAACAGATTTTGACAATTTTAATCAATAGCTGTTACCATTTCAGCCATTTTCTACATTATACATACTTGTATGTTTTTACTTTGATCAAGGTAATCAAGGCAGAGAAGGAAGGTCTACATATCACAGGGTTGGTGCCATTCACTACTTACACAGTAGAAGTGATTGTTAGAGCCATCTATAACAGCATGGTTGTAGGGTATCCCAGCATTCCCTCTGTAGTCATAGCAACTACACATGAAGATGGTAAGTAATGGCAATCAAATGAACCAATGATCTTTTATATGATTTAGGAAATTGGAACACTTTATAATAATACATAGTTTTAAGCTAATATGTACATAAATGTAATTGTTTATCCCAAATATTCATAAGATATCCTTATTTTATGGATGACCTCAAAACACAGCAAAACTTGTTTAAGTGGAACACCCTTGTGGTTATACAGCTATACAGTTGTTTCTTAAATTACAAGAACATATCTTCAGGCATATTGAAACTAAGAAACTATTTATACCAGATCAAGAAATTGATAAATAAATAGATTAATACCAGATTGTTGGGAAATCAGTGGAAATCAACCCTTGCAAGCAAGTCTAGTGAGAGATCTCATTTGTGGTAAAGATTAAAGAAGATCATTAACGTGCTTGATTTTAACAATGACTTATTAAACATGTATAATATTATCCTTGGACTAAAGCTAGTACTTAGCTAATCTTTCTAATAATAAACAGAACATTTGACTCATTCCCTTTTCCCGTTGAATTTTGATTCAGTTATATTTTTTCTAATGTTACTGATGCTTCATGTCTAGTTTAAATATCTTAATATTTGAAACCTTACATTTCTTTGGCCCACCCTGTAGTATTTATCTTATTTCTTTTCAACCCAGACCAATATGATAGGCCAATAATATAACAAATGTTATCTGATCATCTCCATGGGTACCAGTATGGTGTCCATAGCAATGTGTATTTTTATATTGTTTCAGTGCCAGGTGGGACACCTGCAGTAACAAGGGGTGCATTTAGAGAATCTACAGAGTCACAACAAACATATGTCACCATATACTGGCAGGAAATTGAGGAAAAATTACGTCATGGAAACGTTACATATTCTCCAATAATGACAAGTCCTCAGTCAATTATTCCAGAAAATAACGGGGAAGCTATTTTAACGTCTGCAAAATTTAAGAAAACAATAGCAGACAATTACACATTTGAGGTGAGGAGTCGAACACAAGTCGGGGCCAACTCATCATTGCCTATCCCTCAAATGGTTGTTTTTGCAGAAAAAAATCGTGAGTACAACTATTTCTTTCTTATCTTCTATTAATGTATCATCTGTTCATATATTTTATTATTTATATTGCATTCACATTGAAAATCATGGCACTTGGCCTTTTTGATATTACTACAGCAGATGAAATCCATACATTTACATACATAAAGCTGATAATTCAAATTCCAAATTCTGACTGAAAATAGTTTTCTATCTCCACATTCAGTTAAAATGTACATATCTCTAATCCTAACGCCCATTAATATGAAAACTTTTTGATCCCATTTTTTATATTTTTGACTCCAAGTCCCATATTAAGATTCAACTTATTAACCTCAGCTTATCCAAACATTTGGCCAATCCCAGTATTGTTTTGATTAGACAGGCAACATTTTGTAATGATTTTTACAGGTGTGAAACCTACTGATTGGATAGTGGAAGATATAGATGGCGTGATAACATTTCATTGGCCCAATAGTACACATAGCCACACAGCCTTTTGGTGCCTCAAGTCAGCTGACTCTTACTCAGATTGTCAGGTACAGGTGTAGAGAATCAACTGTAGAACTTAAGTTTCAGTATTTATTTGAAAAAATGCCTCGGCAAGCTGCTCATTTTGTTAAATTTTGCTATTTTAAAAGAAGAAATGCAATTTACAATATTAAATGAATTATACTTGTGTCAAAAAAAGATGTAATATTTATAAACAAATATCTTTACTTTAGTGGTTGATAAGCCCATGTCGGCTGGGTTATTTCATTACTTTTCTTTTGTATTGTACTGTATTAAATGATGTAAACTTACCACTGTAAATAACAATAAAACTAAACTAAACTAAACTGTAGTGCTATTGAGATCTTTCTGATTAACCCTGGTCTAGGTTGAAACTTCTGTTCTTGATGCCACATATTCCCTTGGTATATTTTCATGTCACTACCATAAGTGGTGAACATTTGTTATAGACTCAAACTTTTCTGTGGACAGTGGTCAGAGTACGGCGGTCGGTGTTCGGTGTCTGTAACAAATATTAGGTGGTGACATTTTGCATGTTAATGCCTTGTCATGTATTTATGATACATTTCATCTCTCATTCATTTAGAGATAAATAATATGCAAGTATTTGTATTTTGTTCTGTGTGCCTTTGTAGGTTGAACTAAAATGGGAAGTTATTCCTGTTGGTCAGCAGAACTTAAGTCTATTTGGCCTCATCAGCCCAGGACTCCACCTGTTTGGGTTGTCTACAGAGGATGCAGAAACAAGCAGTGGGTTCCAATGGGCACGCTGTGTACATGCTACCACATCAAGTAAATGAATGATTGATTTATCTCAACTCATGACTCATATGACTCAACAAGAGTCACATTTGTCTCTCATTTTAAGAGTCACACTTATCCAATGTCGGCTGAATGTATAAGCCTTATACACAATGACTAAACTTTTGCGTCATGTCATATCCACTAATTATCCCATCGAACGAAGTTCGGAGGGATATAGGGAACGCCTCCGTCCGTCCGTACGTACGTCTGTACGTCCGTCCGTCCGGGCAATAACTCAAATACGGTTGGCCAGTTTTTGTTCATATTTTGTACACATATACCCTATGAGGTAAGAAGTTCTGCTCGAAAGCCGATTTTCAAAATGGCCACTCATTTCAAAATGGCAGCCATTTTAGTGATGATTTTACAGTAATTTAGGTGCAATATGTAAAACTGTAATAGCAATATGTTTTAAATGTAAAAAAATTATAAAGGACGTTAATAATGCTACAAATGTAGATATTAAAGAAGCACATGGCAGCCATCTTGAAAAATGGCGGCCTTTACTCGTCATTTTACGATTTTTGCTGTAACTCAAAAAGTAGTGGAGCGATTTTGTTCATATTTGGTATGTGGATACTATAAGCATTGCACACTGTCTAAAGACACTTTTGGTAAAGGCGGCCATTTTTCAAAATGGCCACCATTTTAACGTATTTTACTATAACTCGAAAAGTAGTGGAGCGATTTTGTTCATATTTGGTATGTGAATACTATAAGCATGGCACACTGTCCTATGACACTTTTGGTAGCAGGCGGCCATTTTAACATATTTCACTATAACTTGAAAAGTAGTGGAGCGATTTTGTTCATATTTGGTATGTGAATACTATAAGCATGGCACACTGTCCTATGACACTTTTGGTAAAAGGTGGCCATTTTGAAAACAATTTTGAAAAATGGCGGCCATTTTAACATATTTTACTATAACTCGAAAAGTAGTGGAGCGATTTTGTTCATAATTGATATGTGAATACTTTAAGCATGGTACATTGTCTAATAAAACTTTAGGGAGTAGTCGGCCATTTTGAAAAATGGCCACCATTTTTATGTGTGTTATTTTAGAAGCATGTGTGCGATATTTCAAAAATTTTAGAGGTGGCTACTTAAAAGCATATTATTTCTTTTGATGACAACTTGGCTAGTGAGCAACCATTTTGAAAATGGTGGCCTTTCTGGTGTGTTGTTTTATGATATTTGCTATTCGTTTGTAAAAATGCCAGCCATTTCTGTTCGATGGGATTCGCTACGCTTTGGCGTTGCCGTTGTTCTGGTGATGCATTGTTTTTATTTCTAGAACATTTTGTCGAATATAAGATAACACACAGTGTGCGTTTAGTCTTTATTTCCAAAATTCTGTTACTTCTAAGACAGACATTGTTTATTTTCACTGAAATATCCTACATGTATATAACTACTTTAAATAAACCAATCAGGGCAGTGTGAAATGCGAGCATTTGTTTTCTTCAGGACCAACAAAAGCTCCAGCAAACTTCAATCTCACTGACTCCAACAACCAACGAGCAGAGATGATTGAGGTCAGTTGGAGCCACTACTCTTGCGAAGAGTATAGTGGTATTGTGCTCAACTACCTGATCAGAATCTGTCGACAAAATAATTGTAAAGGTATGTCATGTTCAGATGATTATTATGTCACCACCATATTCTAGCATTCGGTGGTTAGTGTTTGGCAGTTGGCATCTATAGCAAATGGAAAGTGGTGACATGTTGCATGTTAATGTCATATTCAAGTCTTGGTATAGTAATGGTACTTGGATTGGTTAACTACTTACAATGTGTGTATGTAAGTGATCCATTGAAAAATCATACAGTTAATTGTCAATAGTTTTTAAACCCACACTATTTTAATCTGCATTCAGGATTAGGAAACTGTAAGATTTGGTGTCTGTTTTCAATGTATACATATTTGAAAGGTATGTTCCTAGATGTTATTTATTAGAAGGAAATGAGTTTATATTATTATAAGAACTGATCAGAAAGAGAGATGTGTTAACAAAGGGGTATCTCTATTCTCTATGCATGTATTCAAAATTTAGTTAAGCATAATTTTTCTTAACGCACTTTTAAATTTTGTTTGGATCAGTTTGCATAAATATAAAAATGGTCTGTTATTCTAGAAATTAACACTGAGCCATTTGCGAGACAGTGGGAGATTAAAGATGACCTTGAGGTTGGTGCCATCTATACACTGACTTTGGAAGCAGTTACCAAATATGGCAATAGCCCACGTACAAGCCCTGTCACCGCTATTGCTAAAAGAGGTATACATCTCAAAAATTACTCTTGTATAGAACAGTTCAAATATGCTATTAAAGATCTTGATCTGAACATGTCACCGCCTATTGTATTTATAATCCCGCAACAGACCTCCTGTATGGTCTTTGGCGATTGGAGATCTTGTTAATCATTCGCATTAATAAATATCATAAAAAATGGATTTATTATAGAGAAGAATTCAAATATGCTATTAAGGATCTTTATCTTTCACATTTTGAACCTGGAGATCCTTACTGATGTTAAACTTGAATCAACTCATCTTCCAGATCCAGCCAAGTTGTCAACTGCAGTCATTGTGGTAATCTGCCTAGCAGGCATTGTTGTGTTTGGAATGATATGTCTGGGGGCATCCTATATGATAAAGTAAGTTTGACAATATTGTTAAGTGAATATGGCTGATTTTGAATATAATAGTCTAGCTACTAGCACTTGTGACCCCCCTCCCACACCCCAACTACAAGCAAGTCTAGAATAGAACTGATCATTTGATTGTGTAAATCTGATTGTATAAATATGCCAATGCTGATGTTACAAAGTCTTTACATGGCAGTGAAACGTGAACCAACAATCTCGCAATAATCTGCCAGTTGTTTTTCAGTTGAACATATCTTGATAGATGGGCTTCTTGTGAAGAATGTTACATTTACATGATCTAACATGATCTTAACTCTTGTTTTAATCAGTGAAATACTTCACAATATGTTTGATAACTACATATTCATGAAAAAAGATGACTTAGATATTTTCATACCTTTTTTCCAGATATATAATTCGTAAAGTAAAGAAAACAAAACCGAAAATAACAGTAAGTTTCATTTAACTTTATATTGTGACCTGAAAATTCATATACTGGACTCAATGTTGTATTAACATTAAAAATGTTAGTACTTTAGGCAGTGTATAACTTGAGTATAACTTGAGTTCATGGAGGCTTTGCATTTTTATCACGTTAATGCCTTGCGTATTATACTTGAAAGGGTGAGTCTCATCCTCTTTAAAACTTACAAATGCGTAATGACTGTTTATCAACCTGAGCTACAATATCCAACATTTATCAGTGTGGAGGCCATTTAAATAAATCTACTCTAATTTTGAAAAAATTTAAAATTTGGAAAATGAGGACTTGATAAAGGGGATTGCTTTCAATACTTCACTTGAATGATATTTTTAGTAGATCATCTTATTAGTAATAGACTATAACCACTATTGGCAATCATAACTAGGATATGTTCTATATTGAATGTACAATGAATTGCAGGTGCCTATGATGTCCATTCCTTCAATAGTTTCTCCAGATCCTAGAGTTCAATCTACACCATACACAACACTGACACCTGGCTCAGAGAATGGTTATGTGTCCGTGTCTGAATGGTCTGAGGGTGGTTCAGAAGTAAGAACATTTATTTTACATCTTCACTGCTTAATTTATTTTAATAAATGTATCTACCGCTAAGCAATCCCGGGATATACACTGAATGATACAAACGCTGTAAACAATATATTATAAATCATTTATTTAATGCTCGGTGTTGGATACAGGATATAACCCTTGGGAAATACAAAATATCTACTCTCAGTCCCAATGGTCTATTGGGTAGATATAGTGTATTTCCTTCAGGATATACCCTGTATTAAAAATCACCCATTAAATATCCTTCATATATTTTATATCTCGTTAATATTACCTTATTTTATAAGTTATTTTTTTATTATATTCCAGTCAATATTATTACACTGAATTATAATTTATCTTTCAGTCAAGATTACACTCACAGGTTAGCGTGGTTACTCAGAGTACAGATATCTCCAGTGACATGGAGGACAATGTTTTCCCTCAGACCCCAGAACCAACAAGCAACAATGCTCTGTTTATGATATGTGAGGAACCACAGCCTAGATTCCCTATACCAGTCCTTGATGGTGCTGAAGCTAATGGATCCCCTATTCAGATTCCTGTTGGTGCTACTTTGGGTGTTGAGGAAGGCTACTTAGAACCACAACGTACAAACCACCATGAATATACTAATGATGATGCATCGAGAAGAATATTGGACCAACAGTTGCCACATATAGTAGGAGCCCCAGCGAGCAGAGTAGATACATTCTCCACATCTCCCAATCATTCCACCACTAACTCTCCTATATCTCCTCTCAGTTCAGGAATGGGATCCCCTTCTCCATCGTCAGCGGGATATGCTGTATACGGAGGACCAAGCAGCGGGGAGGCTGCGCAGCACAGTCCAACATCACAAAGCGCAGGGGTTGACAACCCATTATACATTTCGGATTTCGGAAAGAATCATGAGGAGGATAGACCACAACATATAGTTCCTAATGAAAGAGACAACATTGATCATCCAATAGCCATTACACAAAACCCTGGCTATATTGATCATCCTCCAACAACCATTACACAAAACCCTGGCTATATTGATCATCCTCCAACAGCCATTACACAAAACCCTGGCTATATTGATCATCCTCCAAAAATTACGCAAAATTCTGACTATACTGATCATCCTCCAACAATTACACAAAACCCTGACTTTATTGATCATCCTCCAACAATTACGCAAAACTCTGACTATATTGATCATTCTGCAGCTTTGCTTCAAAATCCAGGTTATGTTGACCATCTTGCAGCATTGGGTAATACCCCAAACCTTGTAAATCAACCTAAAGACTGTTGTGAGAATGCAGGCTATACTGATAATGATGGGCTTTTAAACAATGGAAACAATGTCTCACATTTTACCATCACTCAAAATCCAGAATATTTTGATGCTTCAATTACTGAAGTTAAAGATAATGGTCACACTGAGGCTAGTATGCAGAACTCTGACTATATTGATCATAATACACCTGCTACCATGGATACAGGCTATGTTGATCATAATGTAGCTGCTACCATGGATACTGGTAATGTTGACCATAATGTGAAGATTTCCATGGAACCAGGCTATGTTGATCATAATGCAAAAGTCGTCACCCCTGATCAAAGTATTGTTGCCTCTCCAACCAAGAATAGGGTACATTTTGAGGATAACCCCTCTTACATCAGAGACACTGTTCATAGTCCTGATGGCACAAACTACATCAACCATGACAGTCCAATAGTAACTGGTCAATCGCAGAAAAAAGATGACAGAATTCCATATTCTTCAGGAGACCAGGACAGGACAGGAGATCAGTCAAATGGCTATGTTAGCCATGATTCTCCGCATATCACAGGTCTAGATGTTGAATCAGATGATGTCTCTAATCATAAAGTATATGATAATACAGGTTATGTGGATCACAATGCTCCAATAGTACTACAAGGAAACCAAGACTGGGTGGAAAACAATAAAGGATTGGAGAAAGAAGGTGATCAGAGTCAAGATGAACAACTGAGTGATCAGTCAACTGATACAGGATATGTAGGGTCCCCCCAAGATATCGTAGATATTCCTCCTTTCCAAAGACACTGGGAACAAAATATTGAGAATGATAACAAGCCTGTTGATAAACCAAATGATTCAAATGGGTACATCTCATTGGATGCAATGCAGCAATATTTTGCACCTAAACCTGTCATTATTGTTGAGCAAAATACCCAAAGTACAGAAAACAGTATTGATGAATTACCTCCTGTCAAAACAAAAGAAATCAAAAAACCATCTGAAAAACCATTGAAATCAGAACCAAATGGAAAGTTAAGTTCAGATTCCAATGGTTATATACCACATGAGCTTCTTCGTCATTTTGACCCTAAACCTGTTGTAATTGTTGATGCACATGGCCGGGAGATATCTGACAATAAGGTTGATATACATCAACCCAAAAGTAAAGAGTCCCCTGTAAAGCAGTCTAATGATGGATATGTTGAAAATACACACGTACCTCAGCACTTTTATAAATCCATGAAAAAAATTGAAATGGGAAATATTCCAAGCACCGAATTGTAGATCTCTCTTTTGCTTTTATCCGACATAACACACTTGAATTTAGGTAGAATCTGGAAGAACAGGGGAAGTCCAATGAGTGGGTTGCATCTTAAAATTTAAATTGCTAAGTGATGTCAAATTATATCAAAATTATCACATTCCCATAGATTTGGTGTCTAATTTTATTATGTCATTAAAAGTTATTTACAGTATAAGCTAAATAAACCAGGTAAATGACAAGGGGGTTGGTATCTGGCTGAGAGGTTTTTATAATAGAATAGTTGATGTGATTACTAAATGTTGCATCACATAGTCTCACCAAAGGCAACCATCCTACCAATAGGTAAATGTCTTTTGTTTTGCACATAAGATACTCATTTCAAAAATGTGTATCATAAATACCCTACGTATACCTTTTGTATGTGTAATTTCATGAATTAAATTCATTTGTCAATTAAATTGATAATAATTGACAAAACAAATCTTAAGATATCTGATAATGGTAAGATGACGTTTAAGGCTAAGACTTTTAATGTTGCCTTGATCATAGTATATTTTCATACTATAATTATACTTCTCTGAAATTAACATTAAAGTCAACGTATGTTTTAAGGGACTTTAAGATATCGTACAATATTGCCTTGATCTTAGTAAATTTGTATACCATAATTGTATAACATGTATCATGAAATCAGAGTCAATGTATATTTTGTGGGACTTTGTAAATACAGGTATCTTACAATATTGCCTTGATTGTAGTAAATTTGCATACCATAATTGTATTGTTATGAAATCAGAGTCAATTTATTTTTATGGGACTTTGTAGATATCCTACAATATTGCCTAAATCAGAGTAAATTTGCATACCATAATTGTATTATTATGCAACCAGAGTCAATGTATATTTTATGGGACTTCTAGTAGATGTCTTACAATGTTGCCTTGATTGTAGTAAATTTTTATACTGATGTATAGTTGTATTTTTATGAAATCAGAGTTAGTGTATATTTTATGGGCATTGTTAGATATGTATATTGTATATTGAATGTATAGCTAAAAGCTAGGATATTGCCTAGATCACAATGTTGTATATTGTTATGAAAGGGACGAACCCAGTGATTTTTGTTAAAAACACAACAACAGTGTCATTTCTGTATTTAACATGTACTTTTATAGTACTGTGTGTTTTAATTATATTGACCTTGGTATTAAACAGTGGAAATAACAGTATAATGATACATTTGATAAAGTAACGCATTCATAGCTGGTCTAGTTGTACTGAAGTTTAAGGTACAATAATTCTTGGATTCAACATATTAGATTACGAGAAAGATGGCAGTTTTTAGTTTGGATAGATGAGATGATAGATGAAATCCTGTGGAAGTAGTGGTGCAGTCTTCAATGTACCTTGGTGGCTGGCAAATTGAAGTTGCATGTAGCCATTTTGAAAACTTCAATTGAATTTTCGTAAAGAGATTTTAAATAATAATTTTCCTCCCTGCCTACCAAGACAAGATAAAATCCAACATAATATTGCATACTGAATCTTTATATCAAATTATTCAATTATATGTTAAAATATTTTTTATGCGATTATTGTTGGATTTTTAGATATATGATTTCCCTGTTGCAGTAATAAGCTAAGGACTATCACTAGTAATCAGGGTTTGGTGTGAATGGGACATTTCTGGTGTTAATTGGTATGAAAAATAATTTTACTACCATCTAACACCAAGTCACACCATAAAACTGGTGTGACTTGGTATGAACGGATTAAGAGATTAAACCCCTGCTGTTCAACACTGAGTCACACCGTACTGCTGGTGTGAGATGGTATGAAAATCAAATTTAATCCCTTTGATCTCTACAAACAAAAATTCAATCCAAGTCACACTGAAAGTTTGGTGTGAATCGGTAGTAAAACATAAAACTTCATTTTCTTAATCCTTGATTGCATTTTAACATGTATTTGATCTCTTGATTGCCTTATACTTATTGTTTTTGTTTTTATAGATTATTAGTACAGTGTTCCAATACAGCAATAAAGTAATTTCATAATTAAATCCACTATGATTTATTAAAATAAATTAATTCTAAAATTAGTTTTATATTTATTCAATATGTTTGCATACTTTTGGGAGATATAGATAATCATCACAATTGAAATTGTATTCCTAAGTGGACAAATCAACAAAAGCAATTACTTATGTGTACTTACTGAAATCATTTAGTCTTTTTATCGTAATAAATAATATGCTAGCCATGTACAACAATATACATATAACTAAAAGGATAAACACTTCATCTTATTTGTAATTTACAAAACAAACTCTATCTCCTTCAACAGCTACAGCTAAGGGTTTGCTCAAAAGAGACAAGTGATATATTTTAGTATCACATTTAATATTATGAGAATGAAAGAAGGAATCAGTGTCTCTTCTGGCCGTGGAAATAAAGACACAATAGCCCAGGCATCCAATTTACTTTTGAATTTGTGAGTTACAATTTTCTCAATTAAACCAAATCTCATTTCAGTTTTAATTTTTATATATGCAGAAGAATTCATTTTAGTTGTTTATGTATCTGGTTTATATATGAAACATTCATTATTATCACTTGATATTTACCACTCCCCAACAAACTTACATACTGGGTCAATGTCACATAAATTTGGTTTCTCATTAGGGTAGAGGTTTTCATAAAAATGTGCAATTGTTCTCAAGCTCCTATAGTCCTCTTTTAACAAAGAGAATGCCCCACATTTATCTGTAGATGGTGACATTGACATATACGCTGTCATAGTCTTGGGGGTTTCTGATGGAACTTTCTTGGTGACTTTAGCTGCCTGACCACTTAATGCCATATGGGACACCCAATCGTAAACTGCATATGTTTCCATGATGGTTGCTTCTTAATGCTCTTTGTTCAGGGCCTGGCGTGCCACCCCACACTGAACAACAAATGGATAAGTCCATTGACCATACATGGGGGCAAAATGTCCATTACCATATGATGGAATATATGGGTAGTATTTATGAGTAGTCAAATTGTCATCTGCCCACACTTCAGTGACACCCTGAGCAGGTCATTCCATTATGTCTACAGTACTGTATGGGCACATTTTGACTATCTATGGGCAATTAGGAATTATCTATGAGCATAGTAATCCCATTATTGACTCTAAACCTGACATTTATGAGTAGTCAAATTGTCATCTGCCCATACTTCAGTGACTACCTGAGCAGGTCATTCCATTATGTCTACAGTACTGTATGGGCACATTTGGACTATCTATGGGCAATTAGGAATCATCTATGGGCATACTAATCCTATTATTGACTCTAAACCTGACATTTATGAGTAGACAAATTGTCATCTGCCCACACTACAATGACACTCTGAGCAGGTCATTCCATTATGTTTACAGTATGGGCACATTTGCTCATCCTTGTCAATTTGCATTTAAATGTATTAATAACATGGCAGTGATGGGTAAGTTCATTACATATTACCTTACTTTTTTTTACTATGCTTGTTTATCTGTATGTGCAAAATGAGGCTCATTAGATGTTAAGTCATATCTATTCAAACAATGTAGCAATACCAAAAAAAAACATGACATCAATGTTTGATATTTTTGTTTATTATACTCAGTTGCTCAATTGCTTCACTAATCCTGTTTGTGACACTCATCCATTAATGCTATTTTAATAACTTGACAAATCAAGTTTTTTTTAATCTTCAAGGTTTAAAACAATTAATAATAATTTGAATGTTTGACGATTAAGTTTTTTCTCTAGTTATTTGGAAAAAATGAATTAGACTCAAACTAAACCTATAAGAATACTATTAAAGTTTTAAACATATACTAAAATCAAGTAATTAATGATAAATAAACATGTTCTTAAATAAAAATTCAAGTTTAGTTTCCATTCTAGACATGTTGACAAATCCCTTAGAAAAAATACAATAATAAGCAGATCAAAAGATTAAAGGAATTATAAATTGCAATCAAGAACTATGAAAATCAAGTTTCAAATTTTACTACCAAGTAACACCAAGTTTTCAGTGTGACTTGGTGTGGATTTTGATTTGTAGAGATCAAAGGGATTAAAATTTATTCTAACACCATCTCACACCAGCCAAACAGCATGACTCAGTGTTGAACAGCAGGGGTTTAATCTCTTAATCCTTTCATACCAAGTCACACCAGTTTTATGGTGTGACTTGGTGTTAGATGGTAGTAAAATTATTTTTCATACCAATTAACACCAGAAATGTCCCATTCACACCAAACCCTGATTACTAGTGTATTGAATAAAAACAGTTCCAGCCAAGCCACACTGCAATCTCAATCAACCCAATGTCTATGATATTCTTAATACTAAATTTCAATTTTTCAATTTCAATTTATTCCTTAATAATATAATAATACATGGTACGTATAAAAGAATTAACAGGTGACATCATTTCCGATGTTTATACCCGTACATGTAGGAGCATGATATTACAAATATTAAGAGCAAGGTAAGGTCAAGGAATCAACCATGTCAAGACTGTGTTTTGTCTAAGGGAAAATCAAAGAGGGAGGGGGAGGTGCATTATAGATAAAAAAAGCTAACAAGTTTAGTGTCCAGTACCCATGCTTGGAGTTATATCTGTATATATTTCTATAAAGGAGATAGAACATGAATAAGGAAGCTGCAGTACGTAAATATAAAAAGCTTTATATACAGTGAACCCCCGGGATACAAAGCCAGAATATGTTTCTTATATTAACATATTAAGTCTTAAGACATTTACTTGACCTTGATTTTTTGATTTCTGATGGGAGGCTATTCCAAATAGATGGTCCAGAAAATGAAAGCATCTTTCTGTCGTTTTTTTAGGCAAGGCATAATTATATTTACCTCTTGTATCATATTTATGTACATGTAGTTCAATATGTCTTGTGAATAAGTTTGGAAATATATCATGAAGGTTATTTTCATTATTTTGCCACTTAAAGAAAAATTCTGCCACATTGACTTTAGATATATCAGAAATGGTGAGAATTCCTAATTCTTTAAATAATGGTGGACTATGATCTCTAAATCCACTCTGAGTAACTAATCTTGTCTTTCTTTTATATTAAAAGAAGTGAATTAATTGAAGTGATATTGGTATTTCCCCAAATGATATTGCTGTAAGTTAAAAAAGAATGGATTAGAGAATGATATATAGTCATACAGGTTTTCCTATCTAGTAAATGATGAACAGAATGCCAACTATCCTTGATATTTTCATTTTGACTTTACTAATATGTTCATTCCATGGCAATGTTGGAAAAGGGAAATGGGATTGAGATTGCATTATTTCATTACGTCGCATAAGAAGACACTTATTGTAGAGCATTTAGTTTGATTATTGCAATTTTTGTAATGTATTTTATTCAACAAATATTAACATGTTATCAAATATAACAGGAAGTTATATAAATGATTTTGTTATGACCCGCTATAACTATAGCTTCAGCATGCACATTAAAATGCCCAAAACTTAGTATTAGTATACAAAACCATATTGCCTTTAATATGAATTACCAATTTGGGCGAAACATTTTTATGTACAGTATATATTTTGTAAAATTAGTGTATTAACTGTTTTATAGAAGAACATGAATGTTCTTAATGCATGGATGATCCATTTTGGATGTATTTTTTATATACAAGCACAGGAAATTGTACCTTTTTAGTATTTTGTATTTTCGAATTTTATGCATTTTTGCCAAAATTTTGAATCCAAGATGCTGTTTATTGTCTAAGACTGTAGAAATTGAAAATCTATCGCAATAACACAACTTACTCAACTTGTTTTAATCTACATGTATATAACAATGACCTTGGTGTTAGCCAAATTGACTCACTGCATAAAATGAGAAATCATTATGGGCAACATTTGATGAAGACACTACAGTATATTCACAAAATAACTTCTAATTCACAAAATAGATATTCTTTACATGGCCAGTTTAGTTCATGCATTTGCTTTTTAGTGCTTCTTTAATTGCCTTTTTGCTTCCTAGAAAGTTTGATAATACCTCTTAATGTAGACTTTGTAACATTCCGAATAGTCTTGCACCCCCTTGGATTGGCCAGGAAAAACATTTTGCGCTCGAAAATGTTGTAGGGGCTCAATTAGTTTGCCTTTTTGGGCATTACATGGCCTTTTTGGATCTATTTAGGCCAAATTATCAAAATTGGGCCTCAAATTTTCAAAATTTGGGCCCAATTTTTGGATTTAGGTGTTTCAGAGGCAAAATCTCCCTTCTTCCACACACATTGCTTACATGATTTTGAAGACATCAGGGAATGAATAAGAGGAGATAAGAAATGATATTACGAAGTGGGTAACAGAATATTGTAGGGTTACTTGATGATATTAAGGGGAGAGTATTTTAAGATTGAAAATTATTATTGTAAAGCTATTTTCAATATACATGTGGTACTATCAATATATTATATCAAGGAGATTCATATGTATACATTTTTAAAAAACTGTAATTGCTCTTGTAAAATGTAAAATTTTATGAAAATATAACCAAATCTAAAGCAAGTTTTGATTTTATTGTTGAATATGTCATGCTTTTTTATTGTACCTAAATAAGGTGAGATATCATTGTCAGCTTTATATTTTTAATTGACTGATCAAGACTGATCAATCTTTTTCTTTAGAAGTTTCATTTTTTTAAATATTCTTCCTCACCAAAAGTATAGAAACTTTTGTTTGAGTAGATGAAAAATATTATACATGTATTGTATCTGTATATTGGCATTTGCTGTTTGGTGACTTGATATTTTCTAGTTGATTATTTACCCTGCCATTAAAATTGAATGTGAAATGTAAATGTAATGTAAACATATTGTGAACTATGGTAAAATCTGAACTGTCATTACATAAGAAGTTATTCCACATCAAATAAATATCTAGCCAGGTGTGTTTCAGAGATAACCCAAATGCACTGACTGATAGATTCCAAAAAGAGTTTACTTCACCGAATATTATTCTTTGGGATAATAATTCATGGCCTGTGCTACATGTAGATTTGACCAAACAAAACATGTCATGATTTTAACACATAGTTTATGGATAGATATAAATCTCCTATTCATTTTTGAACAATACCCCAGTGGCCTGGAGCTTTTTTATTTGTTTGATCACCTGTCATTATTATTTCCATCATGAATAACTAATTAATTATTATTGCATCCAATAGTGCTACATTGTGATCAGTTTGCTAGGTGGGTGTAACAATGTCTTGTTTATGCATTTTCAAGGATGTTCCTTGATTTGAACAGGGTATTAGTTTTTGGACATCCTGGGTAATTTTAAGGTGGCCATTTTAGATATTCAGTACTGAAAACTGGTTGTTTAATGTCTTGTTTATGCATTTACAGCCAAACTGTTTGATGGACTGATTTCACATTTTTAAAGAATTTATATAAAAATTGAGAAATGCTTTGGACAGGCTGATTTTTAAATGTAATTGTCTACACACTTCCAGGCTAACCATTTCATGGATTCATATGGAAATTTTGGAACGGTTCTTCCTAATCCTATAAAAATCTAGAACTTATGTAGTTTTAATGCCATTTCGAATTTTCCGTCGCAAAATCTCTGCAAAGTCAACTTGACACCTTTCCAGACAAACCACTTGACAGAATGATTTGAAATTTTAAGGCATGTTTCTGTATGAAAATCTGGAACTGATTAGTCTTAATGACTTTGTTATGACCTGTTATCTATAGCTTCAGAAAGTACATTAAAATCCCCATAATTGGTGGTTAAAAACTTTTTGCCTTTTAAGCCTTTTCTACATGTTTGAAAACAATCTGTGCATATTAAATTTCACAAATAATCACTTTATTCCTTATATAATACATGTAGTAGCAAATTACAAAATAATAACTTGCCCATAGCCAGGATTTACCAAGGGGGAGCTTTTACCTGGGGGGGCTTTTTACACTTTTGGCTGAAAAAAGTGATCAGAATGGTGAGAAACTGCATGGTTTTGAAAGAATTTCTGTCCAGCCCCCCCCCCCCCTGGCTATGGACCTGAATAATATTGCGAAACTTTGGCATATTAAACCTTCTTAATATTCTATCCAAGGGTACCAGATTGTTCACCCTGTGTTCTGTTCAATATGTGGCTGCAATATCTTATTTAAATCCATATTGTTCTTTATTTCGCAATCCTGTGTTGTCTTGAGCTCCTTGATGTAGTTTTTGTATCAGTTCAACTAGCAAAATCTGCAGCACATTATTTGTGGCAGTCTTCTTAGCAAAAAACACAGTGCATTGTGGAAAATGAATCAATGCTAGAATAACAATGTAAGTGATATTGTGATGGTCTTCACAGTCAATTGCTAACTTCCAAGGTGTGCTGTAGCAGGTTCAATGTCAAAAATGTTGCTGTTGCGGTTGCTATCCTAAATTTTCCAAAATGTAATTCTTATTTGCAGATTTGCACAATTATTTCTGCATCTTATGCCTGGGTCCCATTTCCTCTGATCCATTGGCCAGCGCCTGGTTTATTGAATGTTTTGTTCAATATTGTATTCAATTTTGAACAAAATACTCGATCGGCCAGGCGCCGTAGCGAAAATTGGAGCAAATGTGACCAGGGCATTAAACAACTGCAGCATTTGATACAATACTACATGTGTATGTGAATCATTTTACTCAATAACAGATGTATTTTCAACCAAGTAGAAGATAATTTACTAATTCTCAGGTTACAGTGCCCAGCTGATGTGTTTTCATGCTCAATAGTAGCGGACCCGGGCTGCATTCTAGAACAATAGACTTAAGAATTCATAAATTTAATACTAACAAAAATGAACCCCTGGTTCAAATATTATAAAGGCCTCTTATCTCTTATTGGCTTTTACTTCTTTGAAGAAACTGCGACAAATCAACATTGCACAAAATAATTGTATAATATTCATTACAGCATGCTACTGTAAGTTAATTTGACATTAAGCTAATTTGACATTATTCAACTGCAAATTTACTGAATTTTTACATTTGACTTGTCATGATTTCTTCAGTTTGTTTTGGAGGAAACAGTTTCCATGTATGTACCATATACACTGTCTGAAATTCCTAGGGATTCATCTTCAATTCCGGGCTCAAATCTAAGTGCCAAGTAATTTAGAAAATCTTTCAAATCACCAAAATAAACCAGGTGCTAAATCAACCCAATATACAGTACAAATCATAGGTCATAACAATTAAGTACAAATAAAGTAAAAGGTTATTGGCACAATAATTAATTGAACACTATATATTATATACACAATTAATAACCATTGTTTCAAAAATAAATATGGCTGTACAGTACACATGACTTGCTATTATTTACTAGATTTACTGCCTATAAATTTTGTGTGTCGACCCTGAGCTACAAAAGTCCCATCTGCTTTATGTGTAATATCAACAGATAGAAATGCTAGGGTGCTTCCACATCTTAGTGTCTTTGCATCAATCACAATCTCTGAACCCACCTTAGCACCTTTCATATATCTGAAAAGGAGAACACGTGAAGGTATTTAATTTATTAATTATAATCTAGGTTATTAGAAAAGATGGTGTTACTTTTCAGATTCAAACAATGTTGAAAGGTGAGGTGCTGTTTCAACATATAAGTTCAATATTACAATACAGTAGGTATGGTAAACATTATTACATTCTAGCCCAGGGAGAACATGCTTTTATTTTGGAAAGCAAATGTCTCTTGAAACTGAAAGCCCATGATTTAAAGATCAACCCAGAGGTCTGGAATCATTTAGCATCAATCTAACTTAACGTAAAAATGACAACTGGTCTGTAACTAATTTTGATTTGACTTACGTTATGTTCATATCAACACTGACCCCAGCGACTTGTCTCTCGGTGGTCATTAGAGCACATGTCGAGACGACATCTACCAGAGTTGCCGTCATTCCACCATGTAAACTTCCACCTCTGTTCTGTTCATCTTCTGTTACTGTCAGTTCACATACACAGTTACCATTACCTGCAGACACAACACGGAGCTGCAACATATAACTTATTATATATTGCATGATCGCCAAAGGGGAAGAGAGGTATGTAAAGGGGTATTAAATATGCTTTAGTTTAGAAGTTTCACAACCTACATGTAATTTAGGAGTGATGTGTCCCATAATATTAACAATATATATATCCACAAAATCTTGCTAATTTCTATGCAGATTCTTGAATCAAAGTGCTAAAAATATAAATAGAATGGACATAAACATGACATACTTTACAGGGTGTCAAATAAATATGTCCCCCCCCCTTAATTTCAAAAGTATGAACTTTTGTGCATAAATGAGCATCTATTTGAGCCAGTCATCTGAAACTTCTTGTGGAGTTGCTCCATGAAGCCTAGTTTTATTGGGCTAAAGAGCAACTTAGATATCATGCAGACAAAGTTATGCAATATTATGTATGGGGGAGAACATTTTTATTTGACACCCCTGTAGACACTGGTTGAACTTGAACTTGAACTATCTCGAGATAGACGTCCTTGATCTAGTCGAAACTATTAAATTATTATTTGACCAAAGAACACTGCGACGTACATCAGATTTACAATCTAATCTACATGTACTAATAAAAGATGACTAGACCTCAATGGCAGTCACTATTTGTATATTATCACCCACAAATTTTTGAAGACATTCATTTACTCTAATTTTGAGTCTTTTTCTTTGTAATCAGTAAAAGAATTTGTAGACTAAATTCCAACTTCAACTTACACCTTTCATAACTGTATCAAACCCCCTCTCCTTCGTCATAAACTGCATAAGTTGACGAACCAAACTTGTAGACGGCATTTTTGTTCAGAGGTCAATTGGTCACGTGATTTGTTTGGGGAATCCCCTTTCATAGTGTTCATTGTGAAACTGAAAGTGAAACTATTTCTTGCATTGTACAAAGGCATTTGCCAGATTTTCTTCATCTTGATTCCTATCGTATATATTCAGTAATTCAGTACTGAATTTACTTAGCAGCCTACTACTTTAGCAGCCTACTGACGTTATCTACAAAAGGAAAAGATCTGACTGGGGATCTATGATTTCTATTCTTGTAAGACTTATGAATAAATGTATGTGTACCATGTGTACTGATGACAATTCATTTTAATATTTTGGAAACGCTCTGTGGTTTTGAAATATCAGTATCCTAATCAGACCAGGATATCAAAATGAAATCATATATATGATTATACATTTATTTTGACGGATATCTACAATGTAATACTGTATTAAATATTACATTTCCATATACTGGTATTAATTTCAATTTGACATTAGGCTCTATTACACGAAAATATGCAAGTAAATCATATACAAGAGATAAATAGATTGCAGTCCTCACCCTTTATGTACATATGTTAGATGTGCAACTACTCTGAGCTAATATGTTTGTACACCACCCTCTAGTCCCTCTTCCTGGGACTGATCATTCTCATGCAATAGTTTCTTGTTCAATCAATCAGAGAGCACCATAGAGTTTAGAAATTATATCTAGTTATTTAAAAACAACAGAGTGAACAGACAACTAGGTTCTGCAAGTCTAGAAGCTTATCAGTAATCTTAAGAGTGTCATATGAGTTAACTCACTCTGGTAAAGGGTAAGCAAATTAATGCACAATATGAGTTAATAACCTTTTAGCAATGCATATACATGCACATGTATACTCTTGTACTTTTTCAAACAGAATAACTTTCAAGACAGAATCAGCCAGTAAACAAAGTGGATACTTTCAGTGATGCTATATACAAAATACACCTATTATGATGTTAAATCTATTTAAAACTTTTAGTCTACTTTTTCAAGTTATCAAAATAAATCAAAAGTATATCAGGGGTTCATTGGTCTCTATGTAACATCTTTTTCTTAGCCCATTCAAGACCTAAAAAGGTTCTGATTCATTAATGAGTCAAAACCCTATGTATGACATTGGCTATAGCTCAAAAATTGACATACCTCATGTTATTGAATAAGGGATTAATCCAATGTGTGATTTACTTTTTGCATAAACTTGAGATTTACCAGACAGATATTGCTGAAATATAAGTTGCCTTTCTCATAGACATGGAAGCCCCACCTCTAGTGACTTTTTGACTGTAAGACTTTCAGAAGTGTCACTGGGGTCGTGACAAATCTCAGATATATAAAGAAAACCCCAGAGGCGCACACCTACCTTTCTCAAAGACACTGAATAATAGTCAATGCAAAGTTTATCAAAAATAAATCTGAACAAATATATTTCTGTAGCCTTATGATTGGATACTCCCCTGACCTATTGTATTTATTTATGACTTTTGCCATTTCAGAACTGTTTGTCTCACCTTTGAAATGGTGCCCCTGTTCAATGAACATGTACAAACAGTTTCAGATCAGTTCAGCTGGTACATTGTTTCATGATAATTAAATTGTAAAAGTCATATGCCATTGAAAAGTGAATGTTCATTCTGACTCATCATTTATACGCCATCAACAGTCATTTTATACAGTTTTATTTCACTTATAATTTCCAATTATAAATTAATGTTGTTTCAATAAAGGAATCATACAGATCAATAAAAGCCACTCAAAACTGACCTTAAGGGGTCATGGTCATTCAAAAGACTAAAGGGCCATGTACATATTCAAGGCCATTTGTTCATCAACATTCTCATGCCAATCCTTATAGTATGAAAAACTAAGTCATACTCTGGCCCAATAATTGTTTCTAATTTATATTTTCCTTGTTTAAATGAAACACTGGGTCAAACAAAAGGCTTTTCATTTGGATTAAATGCACATAAAACTCAGGTTATCAGTTTACATAGAAACAATTAGAAGGCCTTTGTTTATTAATTTCAATAATGTAACTGACCAGTGGGTATTTTATTGCTCTTTTTATGAATAATCAATAACAAATAATGTTGAAAGTCTTTTAATGGCACATCACCATACTTTTATTTCAGGATAATGACATGAGCTCAGTGAGACTCATATTTTATCATCTTAAACTCTTTTATCCATTAGTGAAGAAAATATATCTTAGAGCTAAAAGCTGTAATTCTCATATACCCTAAAACAATCACTATTCATAATGATACGAGTATAAGATACTCAATCGATAGATTTGGACAAACTTTTCCAAATTATCAAAGGATTGGTATCGATATGGTGAACTTAATTCAACAATGTTTTTCTCTTAAACAAATTATTCAAAACATTCTGTAATAAAAAAACATGGTCCTTTATGTAATTTTGACTGATTGACAATTAATTGCCAAAATAATTTATTATATTTTATATAACTGTTTTTATTAACCTCTTTTGTTTTTTTAGTGCAATTGTTTTTTGTTCCTTTTTAACAATTCTTGAGAATGAAATATCTTTCCGAAGCTTGTTGGAACAATATAGCATATACAACATTTTCTTAGACCTCTCAATATTATAGTTATACAAAGGAAATTTTGGTCGATTTGACAAAAAGTATTCAAAAAATTAAAACAAAAACCCTCAAAATAGATAAAAATGAAGATAAACCTTTTATTTCATTAACAAGATACTTTTTTTTAAATCAACCAAACTTTCCTTTGTACATTTACAATAATGAGAGACCTTAACATGTCGTATTCATGTCATTTTGTTCCAATGAGGTTCGGATAGATGTTTTCATTTCATTCCGAACATGATGATACCAAGAACAAAAGAAGTATCTGATGTGTTTTCTAAAACAATATAGGGAAAAGTATATTTTTTCAAATTATATTGTTACATTGATGACCATTAAATTGACGATGTGTAAAATTTTTTTGTGTTCAAAAAGTTCACCATATCGATACCCATCCTTTAATATAATTCTTCACCCTGTGGTAAGAAATATGACAGGTTTACATTGCATTGACCATTGAATGCACCTTTCTAATTAATGGCAATAATGCGAGTTGAATAATCTTGATTTACGTCATAAAATATTCAAAATTCAGTCAAAGTGATATTTCAGTTAAAGGGAACTTTCTACTATCTTCACCATGGTATCTGACCCGAATGAGCCACCTGGTGGTGAAACTGGTAACTACTCGCATCTGAGTAACTTTTTAAACTATTTTTCCAATCTTCGATAAAACATAAAAAAAAGGTTTATGACCAAGTGTTATGATTGTATAATTTATATGGCATTACAGGCTCAAAAAGTATTTTAGAGTTATCTAGTATTAGCATTATAGCTGTTATGCCCTCCTAATCCTTTTGAAGTATGTACAATAATTGTAGTCTATTGATGATTGAAGTCCATTCATTTTTTGTGTAAAAGCTTGAAGGAAAATGTTGCAGGAAAGTCCCTTCCATTTATGCTGTTTTGGTACATGAGACACAAACTGTGTTACATATTCATACAATGTACAAATACCTTAAGCTCAAAGAAATCTTTGCCATGAGAGCTGAGATGAATCCCATAGTGGTAACCATACCCTTCTTTTTCTCCCCTAAAAGTGGCACCCACAAGCACCGGCTATGTTGATAAGAAGGTCTTGTAAATCAGATGTGATAAGCTTGCACAGTTTAATTTGAAAATATGAAGTCATTTGATAGTTAATGTCAAAGGGGTCATTGCTGCAAGAGAACCCTGTGCCACCCCAGTAAGAAGTGGGAATTTCTTTTTGCGTTCTTTAAAATATTAACATATTTCAGTCAATGAAACTACCTTTTGTATCTTCACACGTTATAAAATCCATTTAGAGTAGAATTCAGTGCAAAAATATGAGGCGGCGCCTAAAAGCCTCGATAGATAACAATATAAATGATTGTGCATGTTTGATAATTGTGTTAATTCAATAATTCATATTGCATTATTTGTTTAGTTAATCACAAGTTTTTTATTAATCTGCGTCATCATTAGTTCACTGAACAGCCATAAATATATGAATGATCAAACAGAATAAAATTGTAAATTCAAATAATAGCTGACATTTATTTGAGAAAAATGGTTGCATATATATGCTCTATAATATACTAAAGTATAGCATGCCAAAAGAAAATATACATATACATATTTTGCCTCTTAAGGCTTTCAACCTAGGATGATATCTTCAAAAATATTGGTTCATAGAGAATAGTATGAGATAACAAACTGGGATGGTATTTTGTAACTTATAAAAATCACCATTTATAACCTATCAATATACATGTACATGTGTTCTAATGTATTCTATAAGGGTATTAAAAGACTTGCTTGAATTTCTAGAAATGAGGAATAATTTGAGATATGGGCCAAAAGTTACAAAAAAAATATTAAAGATTGTATCACCGCTATTGGTCCATATATTCAAAATCACTTCCGAAGAGCAGCAGTCTTCTAATACTGTACATTATTTAGGTATAAATTTTAATATATGGCATCCCAATTCTTCACTGGGAGACAGTGATATAGTATTTAACATATGAAATATTTACATGAGTTAAAGGGATCTTTCTAGCAATGCAATAACAATTGTAAGTGTGGTGAATAGTCATACCAGTATACAATTTACGTACATTAACATGTTATTTACTTTAAGGGAGAATCACAGAAATAGACAACTTTTTTAAAAAATAGTTTCTATTTCAAATAAGTTGGAAAATGGCAACATCCTTTGTTCATATTATCAGAATGGAGGTTTCAACCATTAAGCAATTGTAACCAAACACAAAGCATAAAAGATCCCATGAAATAGTGCTAAAATAATGAATAAATTTCCTTGAAAACAGATGAAAACATTGATGACTAAATGCCCTAAATGCAAAGCCTTTGCAGAGAAATATGAAAAGTTCATAATATTCTTCATGCTTTGTTAAGCCTTTTCATGACTAAA